CCCCAAAACCCCAAAACCCCAAAACCCCATATGATATATCATAAACTTTAGAGTAGTATTTTAGAGATATATAAATATATATATAAACGTTCAAATATTGTCTAGAAAAAAAGGATAGAGCTTGATATTGATTATGAGAAGAGTTACAGAGTGATACCAAAATGATGAAGTTCTTTCAAAAACAAGGAATAAACTTGAATGAATTAGATCATCTGAAAATCAAGCCTGAGAAGGTGGCATCTAAGTATATGCTATGATCATTTATATAATGTCTGAAAGAATTCCCAGAGACTGGAAATCTTAAGACTCACTTGAGGACTCATGCACATTTGAAGGATGCTAATAAGAATTTATAACAAAGGGACACTTAAAGACTCACGAAAATATTAATTCATGGGATAAACCATTTGCCTGTGAAAAATGCGATAAAATTTACTCAAGATCTGAAAGTTTAAGAATCCATATGAAAACCCATGTAATATCAACAACTTAAATATAGACTGAAGAAAAGCCATTCGTCTGTACTTTCAATAAATGCGATTAAAACCTTTACCGAGAATGGTAACCTTAAAACTCATCAGGATCCACTCAGGGGAAAAGCCATATCTTTGCTCTTTCCAGGATTGCGACTAGTCATCCATACTTAAGGTCATCTTGCAGGTCACATAAGGTGACATTCTCGTGAGTGGCCATTCAAATACACTTAATGTATTACATGAGTTTTCATTTGTGTTTGATAGTTGCCTTTGTCAGAAAATGCCTTCATACATACTTCAGATTAGTATGGCTTTTCCCCATTATGGCACATTCAATGAATTTTAGGGAAATAATGAGCCCAAGAAAAAGAGAAATATTAAAAACGAGGATAAAGCAAAGATTAAGACCCAGAAAGAAAATAAAGTAGATAGTCCTGTAATGATAGAGCCAGAAAAGATTGATATAAAGCTAGATAAGAATTCCAGATAAATTCATAAGAATCTTAACTAATAAAAGTTTGAAAAGCAGCAATATCAAATGCAACAATAGTCTGAGATGATTTAATCTTAGTAGTCAAGTGACATTAGCTAACTCGGACTTTAGTCGAAGTTAAAGTTTATTAAAAATAACAATAGCACATCAGCAAGCAAATATAAAACTACTCAATCAACTACTTAGCATAATAACCATAAATTGTATATCAATTCGAAATATTGGACAGGCTACACTTAACAAACCCATAGCTATTAATTATTTTCCTCAATAACTAGGCATGAAATCAGTCTATTCAATATTTTTGTTAATTTATAGCCACACCTGTTAAGTAACCATCATTTTAAAATCTTTTGGGGTTTTGGGGTTTTGGGGCAAATGGGTAGATGA